GGGAGCAGAAAACAGACTTCAACAATCAAATGAGTTTTACAAAACCTAATTTTTTTTAACCTGAGAAAAATCAAACTTGCTGGATGACAGTTTCCTATGCAACTGCCAAGATTAGGCTTGGAGTTATTCTTAAAATCTAGTGCTTCTGATACCAGAAACATTTTAGAAGAAGAGAATCACAGAATTACACAGGTTGAAAGGAATCTCCAGCAGTCTTTAGTCCTGCCCTGCTCAAAACACAGGCAGTTTGGATGAGACTGGCTCAAGGCTTTTCAAGTCATCCTGTGAACACCTCCTTGTAGAGATTCCACAACGTCTAGTGGTGCCTGTTGTTACAGTATTTGATCACTCTCACACTGAAAAATTTCTTTCCTTGTATGTAATTAGGATTTTTCCACATTCTAACCTGTGTACATTGCTTTTCATTCTGTTACTCTGCACCTCCAGAAGAGCCTGACTTTGTGTTCTCTGCACCTTCCTGTTAATAGTCAAAGACAGCAATTAAATCTGACAATCTCAGCTTTCTGTTTGTAAGGCAAAACAAATTCCAGTGTTCTGCTGCCTCCCTAGTTTCTAACCAAACTGGGGTATTTTGGTTCTCAGTGAAACTCACCCTTTTTATAGGCACATCCTTGACAATAGTGAGACCCTGGCTGATGGACAGAACTCTTACAGATCCGACATATTGCAAACTTGTTCTTTCCGTAAGGATCAAACCTGGAAAAAAAAAAGAAAAGTATTTCATTTATATACCTTGAGATTAAGTATTTCTTCTGCCTCATCCTAAGAAGTCTAAGCCAGAGGACACAGTCAGAAACTCCAGCAAAACGTTTAATTTAGAAAAGGGTCATAAAAAGATTATTTCTAATAGGCTGCACATAGTATGCACAAAAGCTCCCACTTTCCATACTAAGACAGATTTCTTACATTACAGACAAAAACTTTAAAAAAGCAGAACTAAAAATGTGTATTTTTATTAAGATACTACTTTGAACTTAAACACCTCCCAACAGCATCTTGCTTCTTTGCACAACAGAAAGCCCTCAGACCCTAAGGAAACGCTCAAGAGATTATACCAGAAATCTAGCACAGAAAATAAGGTTTCCCAGCTTCTCTCCTACAAAAGCATCAAACTCTAGCAATTCCAGTGAGAACTGCAGTAAAATACTTGTCCACACTGTGACTGAGCAGAAAGTCATCACGAAATATGTACTGACATATTTTTGCCAACTAATAAGTATCATAATCCCCACAGTTGTTTTTTATTTAAGTGCATTTTGGACAAGTTTTGAGTAGTTGCCCAGATGTGCAGGAAACAGGCTTCGGTTAGTTTATTAACTGACGTTCTTAGCCAAAATCAGTATTAAATACTAACCTTGCCTTTTTGGAGGTCAATGCCTTGTTTTCATTTAATTTGCGGCCGCCGCTTTCTACGGAAAGAATAAAACCATAAACAACTGAATTTCCCGGTTCCAAGCATACTTTAAAAAGCTTAGTTTACACCTTCTACACATGTGCAAAAAAGTCACAGAGATAAAACAGACAGCATAGCACTAGGGGGCAGGACAATGGAATACTTTATACTCTGTTTAAATACTCTGTGTATCGTCATTCCATATAGAAAGAAAACCCCAAACAGACAATTTCAATACTGAAGAGTTTCACGTAATAATGCATTGAATCAGCATGGGAGGGAAATTACATGAGTTAAGATCTAATCTGATTAGGAATGTAACATTTTAGTCTTAATATGATAAGATAGTTCAGGTCCTAATTGGCTTTATAATACCTCAAAAAAAAAGGGTTAAACCTCCCCAGGGTTACCTGTAGTGTTTCTTGCACCATCTTTCCATGTGTCAGGAGTGATCACCGTACCAAGCTTCTTCTCACCTATGTAAGGGGATATTACAAAGCAAAAAAAAAAAAAAAAAAAAATTCAGAATCACAGAATCAACTGGGCTGGAAAAGAATTCTAAGATCATCGAGTCCAACCTATGTCCTAACACTACCCTGTCAAACAGATCATGGCACTATGCGTCATGTCCTGTCTTAAACACCTCCAGTGACAGTGACTCCATCATATCCTAGGCAGTCCATTCCAATGTCTAATCACCTTTCCTGTGAAAATGTTCTTCCTAACGTCCAACCTAAACCTCCCCTGGCACAGATTAATAGTAAGTCCTCCTGTCCTGTCACTAGTTGCCTGGCAGAAAAGGCTGGCCCCTACCTGTCTACAACCTCCTTTCAGGTAGTTGTAGAGAGTGACGAGACCTCCCCTGAGCCTCCTTTTCCCCAGGCTAAATAACCCCAGCTCCCTCAGCCGCTCCTCATAGGACTTGTGCTCCAGACCCTTCACCCCCTTCGTTGCTCTTCTCTGGACCTGCTCCAGCGCCTCAATATCCTTCCTGAACTGAGGGGCCCAGAACTGGACACAGGACTGGAGGTGCGGCCTCACCAGTGCCGAGTACCGGCGGACGATCACTTCCCTGCTCCTGCTGGCCACACTATTCCTGATACAGGCCAGGATCACTTCAACTATGCTGCTCTAATACGTGCCACAGGCACTGCCCACGGAATGACAGCTCCCACAGGGCCCTTCCCGGAACCGCCGCCGCCGCCCAGAGCCCGCCTCGAGCAACCCGGGACCCGCAGCTGCTGCTCCGCTCGGGGGCCGCCCGGGACCCCCGCGGGCAGGGCAGGGCACGGCAGGGCCCCCCGCAGCCCCGGTCCCCCTCACTCACACTTCTCGCACACCATGTCGGCCCCACCACAACAAGCCGCCGCTTCCGACACCGCCCCGGATCTGGCGTCAGGCCCCGCCGCCTTCCGCTGCCGGGCAGCCCTGGGCGCTCCCGGTCAGAGGCGGGAGCGGCGCCGCCGCCCCTCACCCCTCACGGCCCGGGGCTCCCGCTCCCAGGGGCTGCCCTCGATTTTTTTTTTTTTTTTTTAAAGTGATTGACGTTCTTCTGCCCCGAAAGCCAGGCTCAGGGCTCTGTCTGGTGTATCGCGACTAGGGAAGATGTTGCCCTGCGGCGGTGCTGCCGCGTTTCCGTAGCGGGGTAACTCTGTGTCCTGCCCGTGGTCCCTTTCCGGGGAACACGATGAAAGAGGTGGGAATCAGGAGGCTCCTGGCTGCCAACCTCCTCTGCGCCCTGTCGATTGTCCTGACAGCGGTGGTTCCGTCGTTCTTCCTGGAGGGATTCACGGTGCTGGGAACGCACCTCACGTGGCTGTGTGTTTGTTCTGTCTGTGTCGGTACCCTTAATGTAATCTTGCACTTAGTCCTTAATCCAAGTCAGTCTCCTAAGAGAAATTCGTTTGCTCAAAAGGTAAGATCTGTTTTTATTCTTAAGTTGCTACCAGACAGTACAGAGGGGAACCAAATTCTCTGAAATAATCCAGTGAGAAAAAAGGCACTTTTTGGTGGTGAATTCTCACTGTCTGAGTGTGGCACTTTTTGAAATGAGTTTTTCCAATATTTTCATTATGTTAAACTA